GGCAGGGGAGTGGAGAAAAAGGGTTATATGATTTACCCTTTTACCCGGCTGTCGAGTTTGCCATATTAGCTGGGGAATTCTGGGAGTTGAAGTCCACACATCACAATGCTGCCCAGGTTGGGAAACACTGATCTAAATACATCTGCTCTCCAGTGTAGGTGCATCTTCTGAAGATTTAGTGTGTTCTTCAGCTTATCCTCTCCATGGACTGGCCTGAAGAGTGGTTTGAATTCAATGTCTATTATAAGATGAGAGAAGTATCTATCTCAATCCCAGCTGTACATGCACAGAATCTTGGATTTTGTCCTCTTTTATGGATATTGATGAGCCACTTACCATTATTGGTGTTTAGCAATTGCTTTACTTTCTCCACAGCAAAATATGAAACATAACCATAAAATCAATGCAATTTTAAGAATCTATCAATAAAATATAATTAACATAATTAACAATTAAAAGCTTGATAACAGGCACACTTTTTTTGTTTTTCATTTCCTAAATGCAGTCAATCAGGGGACCAATTGCACCTCCTTGAAGAGTTCTTTCTTGTCTGACTGTCAGACTGGAATAGATATAGGCATACAATGGTACAAGAACATCCAATTTATTGTAGAAAAACTAAGAAGCCGTTACAAAAAAATCCAGCAACTACTGCGTATTAAATGGAAGTTATATTTATCATGCAATCAAAGTCCATATTCTTGCACCTCTTCCATTCTACCTAGAGGGCTAGAAGTTACTTTCTTTTAGATTAGAGGGACAGTTTCCATCTGTTCTTTGTTCTGGTCATGCTCAATCCATTCTCAGGTTGTTTACTTTTGAGTGTGTGAGAGCTAGCTTTCACTATTCTATAGCCTGCGAACTACATAGGAGAAAGTTATTCAGTACATAGCAGATGGCCAAACTTACAGCAGTGGGGTTATTTTCAAAAGGACCTTTCCTGCTGATTTAAGTAACTGGGCAGGTTCTTTGTTGGAGATGCAGTCTCTGAGAAAAACTGTTTAAAGCTTTACAAGTCACAGCAGTAGCTTAAATTCGTCCTGTAGACAACTGGCACCTTATGCAGATCTTTTAATATAAACATCACATGATCCCTATATCCTGCACTAGTTAGCAGCCTTGCCACCACATTTCGCATCAACTGTAATTTCAGGATGCTTTTTAAGGATACTCCCATGTTAAGTATGTTGGAGTAGCCAAGATGCATTCTACCAAGTTATGAATAAGAATTGCCATGTTCAGGCTATGGAGTGGTTACAGTTGTACTAGACATACCTATGTAAACTTGCTCCTTGCCACTGTTGCCATGTGCAATTACAGTGACAATTGGGAATCAAGAAGCACTCCCAAATTGAATTGTTGTACTATGGTAGTATATTCACTGAAGATGGGAAAATATATGGAGAAGGTCAGAAGGTGAGTTCTACGTTGTGGGATGTGTTTAAACAGAGGCTGGATGGCCCTCTATTGAGGAATCTGTAGTAAGAAAGTTGGATTAAATTATATCTGGGTTTGTTCCCAGTTTTTACAATCACTGATATTAAGATGTGTAAAATGATGCTAGAAAACTTTATATAGTATGTGGTTTGTTGTGAGGAATAAATGTTTGTCAAAAGAAGTGAAAGAGGCCATATATAATAAAAGTCAAGGAGCATGGTGAAAAATGGGGCTAAAATTAAATATAAAGAAGATCAAACTAATGACAACAGGTACAGCAACCAACCATAGAACTGTCAATGAAGATACTGAAGTGGTAGATAACTTCTGCCTTTTAGGGTCAACCGTCAGCAGTAAAGGAACAAGCAGCTGTTGTGAGAAAACCTCTTACTTAAATTAGAAACCAAAGCATTTTGGAGATAATGCACCACAGTATACTTTATTGGAATGCAGTACAGTGATCATCAGGCTCCTTATCAGCAGACAGTGGGAGAGGGAGCCCCCACTAAAATGCTTCTACAGGTTATATAGGTCTTGTCAATTACATTTGAAACAGATAAAAGGAATAATATAATTACACTACAACCCTTTTTCTGGAATGCTTTGATAAACTATTAAAATGACTTCCCTGTATATTTGACACTTGCAGAATCCTTCCTGATATTATTCACATGTAAAATAAACAACATTGTTTAAGTTGCAATCTCCCATTACACCATTCCATTCTTCCTCCCTAGAAGGACAGCGGTCTGGTTTATGTCAATGATCTCCCATCCACGATCATAGTATTAGGCACTAATTTACACAAATATAGTGCTTCCTGTTAGCTACCTAAAGAACCATACCTAAATGTATGGGTGCATATGTTTTAATATATTTGTGTTTTACATCCACACAGTCAAGAAATACATTGCAGACTAGCACTTGGTAGAGTAGCCATGAAGGCCTTGGAACCAGTAGTCAAATGCCATGATGTGTTAATACCTGTGAAGATCAGAATGGTGCAGACAATGGTTTTCTCTGTGACACTGTATGGAAGCAAAAGTTGGACTTTGAAGAAGCAGAATAGAAAGACTACAGTGTAGACTACTGTATGGTTTTGAACGTTGGTGTTGGAGAAAGTTCTGGAGAATACCTGGACAGACAAGAAAACAAGCCAATGGATCATCAAACAGATTGACCTAGAGTTTTCACTTGAGGCACAAATAACCAGGCTCAAATCATTCTACTTTGGACACATTAGGTGAAGACCTAGCTCTCTGGAAAAGGCTCTAATGGTGGGAAAGGTGGAAGGAGAGAGCAGAAGAAGGTAACCAGCAGTAAAGTGGATGGACACAGTTACAGTGGACTGTTGGAAGACCTGAAAGACCAGGTTAGGAATAGATCATCAGGGAAGATCTGTGTGGTTGATAAGAATTGACACCAACCTGATGGCACATAATCTCTCAGTTTGTTATATGGAAGTAAGAGTTGAATACGTCAAATGGAACATAAAAATACATTTAATACAGTGAAAATGGGTCAGTTAAAAAGTGTGGTAAAACACAAAACAGGATCAAGAATGAATGGGTGCTGAATGAATGTGGACTGAATACAAACCTGAGTAACAAGTATACTCAAGTATGTTGAGGTGGTTTGTATAGAGACAATGAATAAGAATCAAACAAATATTTCAAAAAAGAATGTGTCAGGCAGAGGTGAAAGCAAGCGTGAGATGCAAGGACTGAAAAAAGTGGAGAAGTATAATGAATGGTTTTGGTGTAAACTTACATTTAGTTAAATTTCTTTTTCTCTTTAGTTTATTTTGACCTCTACTTTTCTTCTTTCCATAATGTGCTTCCCCAAAAATGGATAGCTTAATGGCTATGTACGTATCTTGTTATTCTTTTAATACAGGTAATCCTTGGTTAACAACAGTAATTGGGACTGGAATTTTTGTCACTAAGTGATGCAGTGGTAAAGTGTGATGTCATGTGACCATGTTGCTTAGCGACAGCAACCCCAGCGGCAGTCCCTACTGCAGTCATTAAGTGAGGATTGTGGGTTGTTAAATAAGGACCTCCTTGCAACTTCCTTCCAGCTTCCAATAACCAAAATCAGTAGGGAAGCTGGTAGGAAGTTGTAAGTCCCAGGTGGCCTGCAAGCAGGCTGGAAGGCAAGTAAGTGGCTGCTGCTGAATGAGGGAGGTTGAGTGGGTGGCCGGCATAAGTGAAGCAGGAATGGCTACTGCCAGGTGGGTGTGGGTGTGTGGGTGGCTGATGTGGCGTGCACGTGATGGGGCTGGAGGTGGCTGCTGCTAGGTGGGGGAGACTTACCAGAGCGACATGCAACCTTCTCTGCTGGCTTCCCCATTGATTTTGCTTGTGGGAAGCTGGCAGGGAAGTTTGCAAATGATGATCATGTGATCGTGGGATGCTGCAACCGTAGTAAGTGCAAGCTGGTTGCCAGGCACCCAGATAACGATCACGTGACCGCAGGGGCACTGAAATGGCCAGTACTTCAAGGAATGGTCATAAGTACCACTCATTCAACACTGTCTATCTTCAAACAGTCACTGAACGAGTGGTCATTAATAAGAGGACTGCCTGTATTGCTTTTCAGTATCAGTGTTAAGTTGTTTTTTTTTTCTATATTACCTTTCACTCTATCCAGAGTTTTTTGCAGAAAGTTACAAAAAATACTTTATCATGCTCAGTTTGCTGTAGTTTTTGTATGTTTATTACTGATACTTGTATATTTGTTTTTAGATGAAATTATTTTATTTTGTTTTATTTTAATTCATCCTGGAACCAAAGGCTCTGAGATATTATTTGCCAGTCTTATAAGTGGAAAACATCTGAAAACTGATAGCAGAAATCTGTGTTATTGTTAGTGTAAGATTAACTTAATTATATTTATCTGGATCATTTCCCTACTTAATTATTTATCTTGTTTTTGTTCGTAAGTCTGAGCATTCATCCAGATACATTAATTTACTTCCATCTTTTACTTCCTATTGACTGATACAGTCTTATATCATTTATATTCATAAATTCTGAACAACTCTGTGTTTTTTTAAAGAAACATATTTTCAATAGAGAAACCTACTTTTAAAAATAATGCTATTTTTCATTAGTATTAAACTCTTTTACCTTGGTGAATCTCTCCGAAATTTGTTGCTCTGTACTTTGGACGTGGACTTATGTATGAGCTTTTAGAATATGTCTGGGATGGACATAGTTTTCAGCTATAATTTAGAGTCAGTGTAACTTGCAAACATAACTTGAAGGCTTATGATAGTATGTAGAAAGAGCGGGATTTTATAGTAACAAACCCTTCAATTAAAATTTTCTTGAATTAAAATTTAAATTATGCCATGGGATCAATTTTATCAGAAAAAATCCTGTGTTATGGAATTAAGAAATTTTCACAAAGGTCTAATATACTCCTAACAATCAGATCATTTGATTTGATTTCCTTTTATTACACATACAAGAATTATTTTTACCTTGTTTAGAGAGGCTGTTTATATTTCTCATACTTCAACAGTTACTATTTTAAAGGTTTATTCTCTTCTTTTTTCAGGATCTGGAGATCGTATATTCTTATTTACATGGAATGGAAGCATTGTCTAATTTAAGAGAACACCAGCTCAGGTAACTTGAATTGATAAATTATGGTGTTTCATTCTGTTTTAAGGCCTAAACAGGTTTATTACACGATATTGCTTTAATTGGCTACTGCCTTGCTAATTCAGTTATATAATTTTACTATAGATAACATTAATGTTAAAATAGTACAAGTCTGAGATAAATGATGGTTTAGGCGGTGTTACACATAGTAGTCTCATAAGTAAGCTGTACTCTTGTATTGATATTATTCTACATGACTACCATGAGTTATTAGACAGTTTTCAGTGAATGGAGAGAAATGTGGCCACAAAATTTATTTAAATGCCTTCTAAGAATCTTAGTTAATAAATCCTAATCAAGGTTGGTAGTTTGAGGATGCTCTCTCTATCTTTTTAATTTTAATCTTTTTAGTTTTTAGCTTTAACTGTTTTAGCTTTTAGCCTTTTATATTTTTGTAAAGATTTTATACTTCTTTTTACTTGTAAGCCACTTGTAAGAGTCACTTATACAGTGAGATGGGTACGTATAAATTTGTTAAATAAAGTTAACAGGTAATGTAAGAGTGTTTTTCTTGTTTTTTCTTATAGAGGAATTCTAAAAAATTTACCACAAAATTTCAGATTTCTTCTTAAACTGTTTGCAAGCATACGAAATTTCAAATTAGAAGTATAAGTACATAAGTACATGGATTTGTGTGTGTGTGTGTGTGTGTGCATATGTGTGTAAGTTGCTCCAATAAAAGTAAGTTAGAAGCCAAAAGAATGCTCAGCAAAGTCACTAAATGAGTTTAGAATTTTATGCTCTGTCATTAAGGGAAAGCAGCATTGGTGCCTGGCAAAATCCTTACGGAAAACATTTGATCGCCAGAGTTTTGCAGCTGAAAAAGCCTACTCTTTAGTTGCCACAAACTTTAATACTTAGAGCAGATGTTGGCAATCTATGGCCTATGGGCCAGATGTGGTCTGCCACTTGAAATCATCTGGCCCATAGTCTCAGAAAGAAATATCCAACTGGCAAACCCATGAGAGGAGGAGAGAGTGGCCTTCTGTTTGGTTGTGAGTGCTCACCTCCTCCTCAGGTGCCCACTTTGGTGATGGGTTCACAGCCACCTCAGCCCAGCCAGAGCAACAAGTCCCCTGTTCAGTGTGGCAAGAGCAAGCTATGAAGAGGAAAAGGAGGAAGAAATGGTGGTCATTTTCAGTGTGCATCTCAGCTGAGGTAGTGAGGCCAAGCAAGAGGCAGTGACACATACACACACACTTTCCATCCTCAGTCTTTACATTTCCCTCCTCTCTAGTGAGTGAGTCATGCAGGTGAGCCTGGGTATTGGGGCCTTCCCGGACAAGGGAGGAGGAGGTGTCAGTGGGTAGCGTGGAGTGGAAGGAGCAGTAGCAGCCAAGATTTGGACTTGGCTTACTCCTACCCTGCTTTTGAGCAGCAAATAGGATCAGATCTCACACTAATTGCTGGGTCCCTAAGATATCATATTATTTAAACAAAATATGCATTATTCATACTTTATTATGTTTTATTATTATTGCCTTCATTTATTAGTTATAAAGATGAATATGGGCCGTCCTCTGTTCACAAACATGGCCTTTGTCCTTATGTGGGAGAATGTTGCTGACCTCTTAGAGACTTAGGGAAAGGGGTTGATGGATGATTTCTCAGGCAAGGTGAAGAGAAGCCAGTCCTTAAGGTAACAGGGCTCCAAGCAGTATAAGGTTTAAAAGTAACCTGGCACTTTAACCTGCCCTGACTTGGAACAGGTTTCAGGGGCAAGGTTTTATTAAATACGTGCAGCTATGATTTGCATCAAATTCAGTTTCTGAACTGTCTTTAAATGCAGTCTCATAGACTAACCTGAAGGATAACAAGAACACAAATAATCATGGCCAAACTATTTCTGTTCAGGACATTTTGCAGCTGGCTAACTAGGGTTACATAATCAGAATGAGCCCCCTGATGATATCTAAGTTTCAAGTGACAGAACTGGATTAGGGAAAATAAATTGTGAATCTGTTCATTCATAGGGGGTGTAACCCCATCCAGATCTAGCTCAGACCTGTCTCATTTGATGGTTCTCTGTTGGCCTATTGTGAGTAAGTTATGTTCTGTTTATGTGGGGGAGGAATGTGTATCCATCAGATTTCTCACAGCATTGTATTGTGGAATTTATGAACAACTATAATTTGCTAATGATCATTATGAAATGCCAAGTATGACTTCTGGAAGCTAGAAACGACTGCATTTAACTGTGACAATTGCTGTAGGAAAGCTGAGCAAAAATCAAGAATCTGCAGCCAAGTAGAAGTGATGGTTTCTTCATTCTTCATCTTGGCTATTTTCATTTAGGAATGCCACCAGTTTTAATTGGAGTAAATACACCTGAGAAATTATATTTCACCTAAATATAGATTTATAAATAAAATATTTAAAGTTGCAGATAGACTTTTTTGTAACAACTAGAACCTGTGGGAATAAAGTTTCTTAAGGCTTTTTAATTTCATTTACATTTCATCAGTTTCTGTACTTATACTCTGCTAAATACATATAAACATTTTAAATATCAATATTAAAGACCAGATACGGTTTACTGCTACCTTTAAAAAGCAGTCATTATGGTTTTCAATTTCTGGTACATTTTACTATTATAATTAGCTCAAAAACACAATTGAAAATATGCAGCAATATGGCAATTCTTCTTAGTATGCTCTGTAGTGATAACAATGGTTTTATGGAAAAAATGCCTACATATACAATTCTTCACTACCAAGTCATTAGGAATTTGTTTAATTGTGTGTGTAGGATGTGTCTGGGAAGCTGGCTTCTGTATATGTCCCTTGAAGGTGCTTCAGCTAGGTCAGCAGTAAGCAGTGCTCCGATCACACACAATCAAGTGTGGTGGTATAGACATCTGCATGTAAGCACTCTTATTTGGAGTGTCTTTTCTGATGATGTTAATAAAATATTCATTAATACATTGTCCTGGTTCTCTTACATGCTTCATTATACATTTCTGCACAATATTGTCAAAGTCTTTCCAAATAGCATAATTTTGTTCTCACTATTTTGTGAATTATTTTAAATGTTTTCATAAAGCACAGAATTCATTGTGTTTCCTGTCAGTTGACCATTTTTTAATATTCAATGTTATGTAATTTACAGTAAAATAGCATCTTCTGTCACGTTAACAATTATGTAAAATGAAATATCACAGAATATAATAAACACAGTATTTACATTCTGTTCATCTGTTTTGATATATGTGTGAAAACCAATTACAATAGAACTGTTGTGGCACAATCTAATATTACTGACAGCAATTCATCTGTTTGGGGGATGGTATATGCCAGTATTATATGGGATTGAAGGAAGGTAAGAATAAGCAAGGACCAAAAGTGGATGAAACTGTCTTTTTTTCTGACATGCACTTTTTTCATTGTTTCCTCCTGTTTTCTCTCCCCCCACCTAATATTGCAGATTACAAAGGAAAATAATTCAGATATCTGACACAGGTTCTTTGAAATTAGACCAAGAGTCATATAACACTATACAGGCTATACGTTATCCACTCTTGAAACTGGTCCATATAACCTTAATAGTACAGGTAGAAGCTTAATGGCTAAAACAATCATGAAAATTAATGCTAAATAGTTCATATTATATCTCATTATAAATGTCTTTCCTTTCTTTGATTGTTTTTACAGAATAATGTGTGAAACCGTGAGATACGAGAGGCATGAAGCAAATGAAGTGTTGTACTAGTGAGTCTGGCTGTTTTAATTTTATACTATAATTGTTTATTGGGAACTTGCAGATTCTTATTTTGTTACTCTTTTGAATAGCATCGTGTTGTTTCAATTGTACTGCAAATAGATGGGAAATTTTATCCAATGCTCACTTAAACAATAAAATAAGCTAGATTGTCACATCTAAGATGAATTAAAAGCTTTCTAGCTATTTATATTCTATAATCACCAGACAAGCTATCACTTTTATATCACACTTACAGTATATGGTACTACTTATAAAGTTTTGGAAAGAAAAATATATTTCTTAACCATGTTATTAATTGGGACAAATAGTTTAAAGCAGTTAAAGTTATCGTATTATTTGTGGTACTTTGTTTTAGAAGCATTTTGCTATTTTATGCTATCAGGCATTTTAAAAGTATATTCCTTACAATATGTGTAATCTTCATTCTGACTTTTTTGAGGAGGAGGGAGAGAGGAGAATTATGGAGCTGGATTGTTCTTATAACTAGGTTGTTCTGTGTATAACTAGGTTGTTGTGTACGTGACTACAATTTCCCAGAAGTTTCATGACATTAGTTGCAGACTTAGAAATAAAAAGGGATTTTTATTTATGTAAGCTGTTTCAGAATACTAATTCTGGTTTAATTCCATTCTCCAGTCTTACTGGTTAGTTGAATTATTTTGTGGATCATTCTACAGATCATCAGACAGACCAGCATAAACTTGGTATTTGCAATCCAATGTATTTCAAGTATGTACGTTTCAAAATGGTTTGTTCTTTTTGATGCCACTCAGTAAGTCCTTACTTAAAAGTTTGTGAACTCATTTGAATTTTCAATATTTTTTCATAAAAAGTGATCTGTTCCCCACACAAGTCCTAAAACTAGATAAAGAGAGCCCAATTAAACAAATGACTTAAAAACATTATACTTGTTCATTTATTTATTAAAGAAAATAATCCAAAGGTACATATGGCAAAAGTATGTGAATCTCTAGGATTATCTGTTCATTTAAAGGGGAAATTAGAGTCAGGTATTTCAATCAGTGGGATGATAATCAGGTGTGAATGTGGGAGGCTCTGCCTTATTTAAAAAACAGAATTCTGTGTATTCACTATCAAAGTCTGATCTTCACAACACAGGTGTGTAGAAGTGTGTCATGGCTTGAACAAAGGAGATTTCTGAGGACCTCCAAAAATTCTCACCACTCTGGAAAAGGTTACAAAACTATTTTCAAAGAGTTTGGACTCCACCAGTCCACTCTCAGGCAGATCGTGTACAAATGGAGGCAATTCAACACCAATGTTACCCTCAGAAATGGTTGATCAATTAAGATCACATCAAGAGCATGGTGTTAATACTCTGGGAGGCTCAAAGAACCCCTGGGTAATGCCTAAGGAAATAAAGGCCTCTCTTGCATTTGTAAATGTCAGTGTTCATGAGACTACCATCAGGACATTGAACAGGAATGGTATGCATGGCAGGGTTGCAAGAAGAAAGCCACTACTTTCAAAAAAGAACATTGCTGCCAGTCTACAGTTTGCAGAAGACCATGTGGATAAGGCAGAAGGCTATTGGAAGAATATTCTGTGGATGGATGAGAACCAAACAGAATTGTTTGGCTTGAATGAAAAGCATTATGTTTGGCAAAAGGCAAACACTGCATTCCAGCATAAGAACCTCATCCCATCTGTGGAACATAGTGGTAGCAGTATAAAGGTTTGGGGCCACTTTGCTGCATCTGGACCAGAACAACTTGCCATCATTGATGGAAGTATGAATTATGAATTGTACCAGCAAATTCTACAGGAAAATGTCAGAGTATCTGTCCATGAACTGAAGCTCAAGAGCAAGTGCATCATGCAGCAAGACAACAACCCAAAACACACAAGTTGTACAACCAAAGAATGGTTAAAGCAGAAGACAGTTAATGTTTTGGAATGGCCAAGTCCAAAGTCTTGATCTGCATCCTATAGAAACGTTGTGGAAGGACCTGAAGTGGGCAGTTCACGCGAGCAAGCCCAACATCCCTGCATTGAAGCTATTCTGTACGGAGGAGGGAGCTAAAATTCCTCCAAGCTGGTGTGCAGGACTGACCAACAGTTATTGGAAACATTTAGTTGCAGTTATTGCTGCCCAAGGCGGGCATACCAGTTACTGAAAGCAAAGGTTCACATACTTTTGCCACACAGAAATATGTAGCTCTGGATCACTTTCCTCAGTGAATAAATGAACAAGTATAATATTTTTGACTCATTTGTTTAATTGGGTTCTCTTTATCTAGTTTTAGGACTTGTGTATTTTAATCACGTTTTAGGTCATATTTATGCAGAAAGACTGAAAATTTAAAAGCGTTCACAAACTTTTAAGCACCACTGTAATCTATCAATATTTTTGATCCTAAAGGAAAGAAGTTTGATTTTTTTCCAATTAATATATACACTGAATAGAAACTATACTGTTACACAGATATAACAGGCTTTGGTACTGATATTAACTAGTTATCTGAAATACCCATAATGTCATCACCATATAAGAAAGATTATATTCTTTCCCATCTCATCCAATCCTGTCCCTCCCCTCCCCTCAAATGTGTATTTCTGGCAACAAAAATGTATCTAATTATAATTTCTCCAAGTGTTTACACATTTGTCTCATTTTTTTTAATTGAATCTATTAATGTAATAGCTGTATACTCTGAAAGATGTTTAACTAGCTAATTATAATATTTCTCAAGATCAGCTCCCAGTTCATACAGGCCTTAGATACTATAACTGGCTTAATATCTAACATGCAAAAAGAGCAGACATTTATATAATTAATATGGATCTCAACTAAAAATACATCATAAACATAATATATAATTAAAAAAACCCAACAATGAAAAAAAAATGAAAAATTAAATCTAATTTAACTGCCAGTTTAAACTTGGGTCCCATTGTGCATTGCTAAAATATAAAGTATGATCTTGTTTTTATTCATCAGCTTTTTTTGGAATATTACAAGCGAATGAAAAAGCTAAGGTGATTAATCAATTGATTTGCCAGATTTCTAGCCCAGCTCAGTCCCAAAGGACTCTGGGCAGCAAGCAGAAAAACGAAATTTAAATAACAGTATAATTAAATTAATACAATAAGACAATAGATAATTGAAATCATCATAATAAAACGTATTATCATTATCAAAAAGCTATTGTGGAACCTCTCTGTCAGCTCAGGCCAAAGGATTGTTGGAAAAGGACACTTTTGACTTGCTCTTAAAGCATAAGAAGGTTAAGGGCTGCAGGTACCTATGGAGGAAAGATTATGTATGTATGCATGTATGTATGTATGTATGTATTTTGTATGGCCACCCATCTCACCAAGTGACTCTGGGAGGCAAACAAACTTAAAAAAAACCAATTTAAATAATACAAAAATTAAAATCCATAGCAGACAAGAATAAATCACCCATTATAATGACTAAATTAACCACAGAACGGGTCCCTGCACACACTCAGGGCCCCAGGCCTGGGCACAGAGTCAGGTCTTTAAGGGCTTACAAAAAGGTAGCAGGGTTGGGGCCATCCTGATCACTGGAGGGAGAACGTTCCATCAGGTGGGCACTATAGCAGAAAAGGCATGTCTTCTAGGCCCTGCCAACCAGCATTCCTTACCTGATGGGACCCAAAGCATGCCCATCCTGCCTGACTGGATCGGATGGGTAGAAACAACCAGGGAGAGACGGTCCTCCAAGTAACCCTGTCCCAAGCCATGAAGGGCTTTAAAGGTGACAGCCAGCACCTTGAATTGCACCCAGAAGCACACTGGCAACTAATGCAACTCACAGAGTAGAGGTGTTACATGTGCTGAATAACCGGCACCATTTACTACCCATGCTGCTGCATTTTGAACCAGTCGAAGTTTCCAAATGCTCTTCAAGGGTAGCCCCATGTAGAGCGCATTTCAGTGGTCCAGTCAAGAGGGCATGAGTGACAGTGACCAGGGCCTGCTGGTTTAGGAATTGGTGCAACTGGAGCACAACCTGAAGGGGCACAAAGGCCCTCCTAGGCATGTCTGCCACCTTAAATTTTGAGCAGGATCTGTGAGTCCAGGAGGATCCCCAAATTGTGTACTGGGTCTGTCTGAGGCAGGGCCACCTCATCTAAGACCAACGATGGAAAGTCACCTGCACCAGAATGTCCAAACACTCAAAGCCACTCAGTCTTGTTTGGGTTGAGCTGAAGTCTGTTGTGCCCCAGTCCAGGCCCCCACAGGCTCCAAACACTAGGACAGGATGTCCATGGCATCATTCAGGGAGCCTGGGTTGAAGATATAAAACTGGGTCTTTTTTTTAATGGGTCCTGTTAAGGTACAGGATATTGGAGGAATTGGAGGTGTAGTGTGAGCAGAATGAAAGGAGATAAGGAGCTTGGAATGGTGAAGAACTGGAATTTTAGTAAAGGAGCAGAAAAATATGAGTGAGGTTCATATATTATACTGAACCTAATGTGGTTTGTTTGGTCTGTGAATTGTCAGAAATTAGCAAATTGTGATTTCTTTCGCAAACCATGATTAACTAAACAATTGCTTAGTACAACAACAGTACATTTTATTGATTAGTCTTCTGACCATATCAAAAAAACTATAAAACCAATACAGAGAAAATAGGACATATTCATAATAAATCATCATCCCTGCAAGTCAACCCCAATCTGTTCTAGGTAGTCTATCCTCTTAGAAATGGCCTTTTATATAAAAATTGCGGTCTTGCTAATGATGTGCAGGTTAGTTTCCTGCAAGAAGTAAAGGTGTCTCCTGGGTGTCCCAATATTTTTTAGTTTTTAAATAAGGATCTAAGTCAGTGTTTCTCAACCGTGGCTGTGTGGACTTTGGGTGGCTGACAGAGGAATTCTGGGAGTTGAAGTCCACACATCTTAAAGTTGCCAAGGTTGACAAACACTGATCTAAGTTAACAGTCCTTTCCGCAGAATATCTTTTGCAATCAAATAGCTTATGTGCAATGTCTTCAGCACTGGTACACCACAGATACACAGTCTTTCTTCAAATGGAACTCCATAAAACCTCCCATATCTTACCATGGAATCTAGTTGTTCAAAACATGCTCTAGAGAAAGCTCTTCTAAGATGTTGGGTCACGTAAGTTGTTAAATATTTTTCTATCTAGGAGCTGATTTGTATTGAGCCAGTCATTTCAAGGACTTAGTACATTTAAAGGATATGATATCATCTTGGGCAGCAACATCCAAGACCCTTTGTTTAAAACTTTTCCTGGCCTTCAGATCTGATTGGATTGGAAATTGGATGGAAAATCCATATTGTGAGATGGTATTTGAAAGTTGGTCAGCCCAAGTACAAGAAGACATATTAAGTGCCTGTTCTTTGAAACACAGCTTGGGCAAACTATCTGGGTCCATAAATAAGATCTTCAGCCAATACTTGAATACTCCAATTGCTAGATGACTTTGTATAGGGGATATACCGGCTCTGATCTTACTGCTGGAGTTGGTGTGGATTTGTCCACCCCCAAGATCCATTTCAGAAAAGTGGACTGTATCAGTTCCAATAGGAGAGGATTTATATATCCCCACAGTTCTGCACTATATGGAATTATTGAAACTATTTTGCCGTTGTATACCTTTATGGCTGGAATTAGGGAACCAGGGTAGCTATGGTTGGTGAGCTATCTTACGGCATTGTCACTGTCTGTAACTCCTTCTGAAATGTGGGAACCAGGAATCTGTTTCTATAAAAACAGTTCCTAAATATAGATAGGACTTAACTTGATCTATACACTTCCTGTCTAGGCTCTAGTTAGTTATACCTAGTCTGTCTCTTCCTAAAAACAACTACCTTGGTCTTGGACTTATTACTGTTCAGGTAGTTGAATACACAGTATGAACTAAACCTGCGCAGCAGTCTTCTCATCCCTACCTGGGTATATGTCAACAATACCATGTCTGCATAAAGCAGGATGTTTACATGTTTATTTTTAACTTTAGGCATATTTGTGCAAGTTGATTGAAGGAACTTTGAGATATCATTTATATACAGATTGAACAAAAGGGGAGTTAGTATACAAGGATGCTTGTATGATCTGACCTATTTATTGGTGCTAATTTTCCCTGTTAGGGAACCTATTGCTTAGTATGAATTTTGTTATCTGGCAAATTCAAAACACAGTGGAATTGCCAGCAGAGGCCATGCATTTAATTGCAAATTTTTGAGTGAGTATGGAAATATTAGACAATTTATCAGCAAGGTCATTGATGATAAAAATAGCAAAAATACCGTTGCAGTATAATTCTGAATCTCATTTGAAATTGGACTATTTTCCAGATAATTGTCATGTTCAGAATTGTTTTCTTAGGAGTTTTTGAGCATTGTCCTATATTTCAGGAACCTGGTTTAGTCTGATATTACAAGAAGAAATTAGATAATTTTTCTCTACCAGTAACTAAATATTTAGTATTCCTGCTGTTTACCGTTAAGATGCTTTCTGGTTTTATTTCTTCAGGCAGAATCATGGAATTACAGTGGGGCAAAAAAGTATTTAGTCAGCCACCAATTGTGCAAGTTCTCCCACTTAAAAAGATGAGAGAGGCCATTACAGGCCTCTCTCATCTTTTTAAGTGGGAGAACTTGCACAATTGGTGGCTGACTAAATACTTTTTTGCCCCACTGTAATTCCATGATTCTGCCTGAAGAAATAAAACCAGAAAGAGGCCTCTCTCATCTTTTTAAGTGGGAGAACTTGCACAATTGGTGGCTGACTAAATACTTTTTTGCCCCACTGTAATTCCATGATTCTGCCTGAAGAAATAAAACCAGAAAGAGGCCTCTCTCATCTTTTTAAGTGGGAGAACTTGCACAATTGGTGGCTGACTAAATACTTTTTTGCCCCACTGTAATTCCATGATTCTGCCTGAAGAAATAAAACCAGAAAGAGGCCTCTCTCATCTTTTTAAGTGGGAGAACTTGCACAATTGGTGGCTGACTAAATACTTTTTTGCCCCACTGTAATTCCATGATTCTGCCTGAAGAAATAAAACCAGAAAGAGGCCTCTCTCATCTTTTTAAGTGGGAGAACTTGCACAATTGGTGGCTGACTAAATACTTTTTTGCCCCACTGTAATTCCATGATTCTGCCTGAAGAAATAAAACCAGAAAGAGGCCTCTCTCATCTTTTTAAGTGGGAGAACTTGCACAATTGGTGGCTGACTAAATACTTTTTTGCCCCACTGTAATTCCATGATTCTGCCTGAAGAAATAAAACCAGAAAGAGGCCTCTCTCATCTTTTTAAGTGGGAGAACTTGCACAATTGGTGGCTGACTAAATACTTTTTTGCCCCACTGTAATTCCATGATTCTGCCTGAAGAAATAAAACCAGAAAGGCTGACTAAATACTTTTTTGCCCCACTGTAATTCCATGATTCTGCCTGAAGAAATAAAACCAGAAAGAGGCCTCTCTCATCTTTTTAAGTGGGAGAACTTGCACAATTGGTGGCTGACTAAATACTTTTTTGCCCCACTGTATTTGTATAAAATAAAAGTATCTAAAGAAGATAATGCAAAAAATCGGGGGAAGACACATTATTGTTAAGGGAAAATGATATCAGGATGGGCTTGTGCTGTGCATTATTATAGCACAGTCCTATCCTTACTCTAAAAGTAATTTAAAGTGAGTTTAGTAGGACTCAGGTAGATGTGCACAGAATTGTGGACTTTGTATTATTAATTTTTTACTAGACTTTTGCTCTAGTATAATTAAGATTTAAGTTTAGCTTTCATCATGTTGCTGCATAGTTACAGCAAGTCAGTGGATAAAAATAAATGCATTTTTAAAGTAAAATTCAAGACCTTGGCAATTATTATCTAAGCTCTTATTGCCTCTATCAATTCATTCTCTATGTCTTAGAAGACTACCCAGTACCTGCAATTACCATAGAATGCAGTGGTCTGATAATTGCCTTTTTTTATTTTTTGGGGCACTGGATTGACTGGCAGTAGGCTTCTGGGTACAAGTCAAAGTATTGATTTTTACCCAGAAAAACCTTTATGGCTTGGTACCCAGGGAACTAAGGACTACCTACCTCTAGAAGAACCAATCTGTCTGGTATGTTTGTCCTGAATTGGGATGCTGAGTATTCTCTTCATGAGGCAGAGCAAGCGTATGATGCTTTGCAGCTTGTATTCCATTCTTATGAAACAGTTTACCATTAGAGATGTAAAATGCCACCCTTCTGGATGGCATTCTAGAAGGCATTCAAAATAGGCTTTTCCACAGAGACTTTAATTAACAATGATTTTAAATATTGGTTGGTTGCTAATATGGATGCTAGGTTAGGGTGAGATTATGTTTTATTGATTTTATTGCTGTAAGGATTTTATGCTTGGATTTTCTGATCAATTGCTATAAGTGCCTGAGTTGTCAGGATAGAAATATTACAAATAAAGAAGCAGGTAAGTAAATTGTTTTATCATATAGAAATGTGTGATACTGAGGAAAATATCATTTTTAGAAAATTTCACCAGTTAAAACTAGCTTATCACAAGTACCTATGTGAATTACAGCACTATAATATAGGTCTTCCTTTGTGACATTTACCTTCTTTTTCTTCTTTTAAAATCATACTTCCTAAAGTTTCTCATCTTTTTTTTTACAGCCCTGATGATATTGGGACCTGTTGGTATATTCTTCTGTCTGGTTCAGTATTTATCAAAGAATCAATGTTTCTTCCAAGGAGCAGGTATGACTGGAATTCATTTTCGTTTAAACATTTAAAGAGAAATTAGTGACATCTAATATTTAAAGAGATATCAGTTATCAGTACTGCATATTTTAATAGAATATTTACATCTGTGGTTGCATATGGATAGGAATATATACCTAAAAGTGTATCTCACTGAAAATACAACAGACAAGTTTAGAGATATAAGCAGCTTCCAGTATATAGCACAGAAATCTACTTTGGCTATTAGTATGTAAACCTTACAATTTGCTCTTTTTAAAAACTTTAACTGAAATTCTGCCTAATTATGGTTTTACACATAATATTAGCTCATATTTATTTTTATAGTCAAAATGTATGTTTTACTAATGGGAATATAAGATACCAACATATCAAGCCCACACCTGTAATATAATTGCTGTTGTCTAAAATATATAAAATGTAGATTGCATTTCTTCTGGAGTGTACCTGTTAACTTTAAAATACTCCAACATGAAGCTGTGCAAAGGCCCTCCTGGTTGGAATGTATTAACTTCCTGCTACAGAATTAAGTGATGGCATTCTTTTCTTCTGTATTCCCCTTGTATTTCCATGGTATATGGTTAAAGCATATTTCAAGTCTGATTGACTGGAGTAATTACAATGTAAATAGAAAAATAAAATATCTGAGCCCATCATTTTACACTGTATGTTGCAGGACTTAATATGTGGAAAATACAGATATATAATTTACATCTATAAAGTTGACTGAACATATGATCACTTCTTTTAGGAAAATGTCATTCAGTTCCCTCAATAAGGAATATTTATTCACACTGGTTTCAGCAACTTTATCTCAAACAGCTGACTTTGTGTACTGAGAATGAAGTGAAATGTCCCATAAGTGTTGTTCTGAAAGAATGGCTCACAGTATCCAGGCAAATAGGCATAATTTGGTGCAATGGAATAGTTCATGTTAACCTCCTGTTTCAAAACCATTCAAGTCTTTCTGAAGTCAGTATCTCAGACCTGGTGCCTTTGTGGAACCCGGATACATTAAACTCTGGATCACATTTATAGGCTAGAAACTTCTCCCAGGCTCTCCTTTAGGAAGAATGAAAATTATCCTGTAGTAGGTACTAACCCTATTGAGAAGAATGTTAATGCCTCAGTTGATTGCACTCAACAAACAAGATTACAGACACATTAAACTGCATCTTGTCCAGTGAACTGAAGCTTTTATACATTCATAATTCACTTTTGCTGGAACAGCCTAATTTGCTGGCAATAAATGGCCATCAGATGTTTTATGGAACTCAAGATTATGGTGGTTTCTATGAGCATTCTCAACAATTTAAGTGTTAGATTCCAATTTTTTCTTGTACTTTGGTTCTGTTATTTATCTCTTCTTCTTCTTCTTCTTCTTCTTCTTCTTCTTCTTCTTCTTCTTCTTCTTCTTCTTCTTCTTCTTCTTCTATTATTAATTTGTAATTTTGATTTTATGATACTTACTATGGGCATTTTAATTGGTTGTTTGCTTTTACTGGATTGTTGTAAATGGCTGTATTGATTTGGCTATATGCAAATAGAATGGATGAATGGATGAATAAAATAAATCATGTATTTAGATTATACCTTTTTATTTATTTATTTTCTTTCTTACTTAGTTAGATAATTTCTATCCCACAAGCAACTCTCAGTACTTCTGTGATCCAGATGCTAGAAGAAAAAAACTTTTGAGATATATAAAATGCTTGATTTGCTCCTCAGGATAGGTAATTTAGGTCATTTGGCAAAGACCATTACGTTTTTGGGAATTAATGGTAGGCTTTTCAGCATAGCAGTATGAGATAAGAGACTGAAGACCTCCGTTAAAATCATCTGGCATGAGCAAAAGATTGCTACATTGTCTGCATATAATAGCAAAAGTGTGTGTCTGCCAGTTTAGTGTGGTAGGAACTATGAACTCAGTGAACAAACTATCCACCACTGAGTTCATATAAAGACTGAACAGTAAGGAGTTAAGATGATACTTATTTAACCCAGTATTCATTGGTGTAACATTGGATAACTGATCTGAGGGATTTTTTATACACACATACACATAAAGGTGCTGGATGAGTAGTAGAAGTCATAAGTTTGGGGCGATATCCTCAAGTTTCTTCTATATTATTTCCTGATTTTAAAATAATAAAGCTACTTTATTGGCCTGTATGTGAATGGATCAAATTGATCATTCTCTCTTAGTTGCTAATTGCTATGTCCAGGTCTTAAGCACAGGTAGCAAAGATCTCTGGGCATAAAAAGAACTGCTAGAACTGGAGCCCATACTTAGGTATTTATACTTATATCAATATTTCTTTCTGTTATGTTTAATTTTTTATTCACTTTATAATCAGTATTTAATATAGATTCTTTTTTATTTCGCTATTTAGAAATACTATTTTAAAAATTAAAAGATCAGCTGGTAACATAACTATGATAGCCTAACTATGATATCAAATACAGTGTTTCCCTATCATCTGCGAGCTTATGACAGTCCAGCCTCATCCCTATTTCCTTGTCAAAAATCCACTACCAAAAAACCCTTGGCAATATCCTTGTTTCTTGAGGCTTTAATCAGTTGTTGCCCAGTGCTCTCTAAGCAGCTGTCCCTGCTTTTACTTTTTTTTTTTTTTGTCTAAATGAGATCATTATAATGATGTATTCTAAGGGACAGACTATATGGAATATTAGGAAATTATAGGTCTCATACAGTGTGTAATTAGCAACAAATTATTATTTTAACTGTCATACATTCCATATCAAATGCCTTTGGAGTTAGATGTCAAATTCAAAGAGTCCTTGCCAACTGGTGACTTGAAGGACAGAGTGGAGTCTAAAGAGAGTCTCTGCATCCAGATGGCCTGTAAGTGCTTTGTCAGTCTACCCTGATTACATAGTCCTAAGAAGATCTTGATTAGTTTGAATTACTGCTCACATATCATCTTCTAAATATATGGTTGTTTCTGTGATATTTAGGAACAGGATTAATGGAAAGTGGTTGCTATCTGTTCTGCAGATCAACCTTCAGCTCAACCAGAGAATTAAAAAGTCTAGGCAACAGCATTATAATCAGTGGTAATATAATTGTTTTAGTTATATTTGTTATGTTAATGGTAAAATCTACCTCCTCTATTCTATAATACCAGCTGACAATTGTATAGTGTTAATCTGTTCAGAAGTCTCTTTGATTTTGCAGATTTCCTTTTCTTCTAAATGTTTTCTCTCTCCTTCAGTTTTGGGAAACGCTCTGCAGGAAGCTTCAGGCGTGGCTGTGAATGCATTGTTCTAGAACCATCTGAAATGATTGTGGTGAGTATAACTGGATAATGATGGTACCACTTTGCCATTTTGTAGCTATTATTTGCTAAGATACATCCACTAAAATAGTGAGGCTGTCTACAATCAGTTAATCTGTTTAGTGGCTTGGAACTTCAGGTAAGAAAATGAAAGAAAGTTTCCCTCAGTATAAAAACAAAAAAGACTTAGCTTTTTGTTTTGCAGGTTTTAACCCCTACTCCAATAAAGTATTATTTCAGAAGTGTTGGAAAAGATAAACTGGAGCAATAGTTTTTGTTCTTTTAACTTCTTTTACAATTTCCTTACTTTTCATATAGTCCAACCTGTTTTAAATTTAAACTTAACCTCCTTCATTTGTCCCTTTCCACATAGTTTAAAACTGAAAACAAATTTCTGTCCCTAATTTGGCCAATATACTAAATCAGGCTGGGACAATCTTTTAATGGCCAACATAGCAACCCACACTTAAGGAGGGATGAGGGCTACATAGTAGATCAGGCCATTTCACAGATGTAAACAGTGTGGGGTTTTGTTTCCTTGTTTTGAATAGTGTTTGGGTAAGCAAGTTTGGGCTTCGTTGGTACTTGTATGTGAGACTATCGTGAAATCCCAGGCTGAATTGGGATGTTGAAATAAACATCCTTGAAGAAGGCATTGGGAACCCATTTCTGTAATGTTGTCAAAAAAAGTATATGGAAATGTCAACGAATACACCAGAACAGTGTAGATTTGAAGGAAACTACTTTTACATGGATATTTTATTACTATTTGATGTCTATGCCAAAAGGGCAGGAAACTCTACTATCAGTTTTCAGAACTTGTAATCAGAAAGGGTACTGAGGTCCACCAAGCAGGGATGCTGGCCTTATGCAATCTTGGGGCAGCAGCTTACCAACCTCCTTACTAAAACAAGAGAACACAGTCTACAGCCACAAAATCACATATATTCTGTTCTTCCTAGCCCCACTAAAAGAGAATTGTAATCTAATAAAATTTTAATTTATTAACATTTTATTAAGTCAACTTTTTTTGTCTTATCCCCTTATATTTCTTTATGCCGATCCTTTTTTTCATTGTGCACCCATCAAGCACACAGTTCAAAGAACAAGTCTGGCACTCAGTCCCAAAATATTGACCAGTATCTGTGTTAAACCAAGGAAAGATTTGACTGGGGTTTGTTATTTTCATCTTCTCATAGGCAGGATGAAAGCAATAGTTATGAGTTGCTGCTCATTTGTTACTCATTTGTTACTCATTTTTTTTACTACAAATAGATGGCAAAAGTGAAAAATTTCATCATAGAAAAAGCTTATGCAAGTAGGGATTTTAATGCATAGTTCATATTGTTAAAATAATAATGAAAACATTATTTGCTGAAATTTCCATATCCAAAGTGTTTGTATGTATGGAGCAGGCTATTATCTCACTTTTTTTTTTTTTTTTGCAAAAAGGTTATTATCCCACTTCTTTCAGATAGAGGTTTTATCTCTCTCCTATAGCAATTCCACTTCCCTAGGAAGTAGAGGAACACATTTCCCCATTTTAGATACAATTAATAATTTTGTACTTATTTCTGTGTACTTTATGGGTCTTAAAAAGGAAATGCCAAAAGACTTCCATTTATTGTTTTGCCTGTCTTTTTTAATAATGGGATTAATAATTGGGTTAATTTTGATCTAGTCCTCTCTTAAATCCAAAGCAGTAAGTGTGGAAGCTTGCCACCCAGTATTTAAACTAACACCATTATGCCTATTTAAGATACTGTCTTAATATACAGTTCATAAAGTGGCATTCTGATGTGCACAGTTGCAATTATAATTATTTTGTGTGGTTTATGTATTTCATATGTATGGGATTTGTCCCTACAAGCAGTGCTCTGGAAAAGAAATCTGATCTTTTTATGGGGAGCCCACTCTTTAAACCCTTTGGTCATAATGATGTCCTTCAGTACTTTTTTAGACCAGCACTAAAACAACTTATTAAGGAACTCTCTGCATGCTTGAATTTGGGTTTTATCAAAAAGTTAAATTCCAAATTATTTCTTTGTTAATTGTTTCATACTGGTTTGTTTGGGCTTGTGGGTACTGAAAACTGTCTTTAGCTAATGGCTTCTCAGCTATTCAGAAAATAAACATCACAGCAGTAAAATCTTGCCCACCAACAGTCATTTCTATGTTTGTTCTGTCTAGGTAAGGGCCACAGAATAAATATTTATCCTCATTACCTTTACAGACATATACACACACAGCCACCACCACCCCAGCATACAGAACTGCTGATCCTGGCTTAAAGTTTCTCTCTGAATGTATCAGGAGGAGGAGTCTGGTAGCACTTACAAATTTTATTAAAAGGTACAGGCTTTCATGAGCTGTAGATCACTTCATCAGATGCATAGAGGAAAATGAGCTATAGCTCACGAAAGCTTATGCCTTTTAAGAAAATTTGTTAGTTGGAAAAGGTGCTACCAGATGCCTCCTGATTTTTTGCCATCATAGACTAATATGGACCTCCTCCTACAATTTCTAAAAGTATGTGTCACAATTACATCTGCTGTGAAGAAGTTGAACATAAGAAGCTCTTATTTGTGCAGAACAACCTTACCCTTGGCATTACTGCAGCTAGTCCCACATTGTTCTGCCTTTTCAGGTCATTCAGTACTGATATTCTCTAGTTAGAATTAAGGATTCTGGTTCCCTCTTATCTTAGACTGCCGGCATCTCATTCTCAATTATGGCCAAAAAGAAAAAAAATCTAAATCAAAGAGGCCAAGAGAAAAATGAAACTGTTCAACGCTATTAAAAACAAGAAGGCTGGAAATACAGTGGTACCTCTACTTACGAACGCCCCTACTTACGAATTTTTCGAGATACGACCAGCTCCGGAGGCCAAGAGAAAAATGAAACTGTTCAACGCTATTAAAAACAAGAAGGCTGGAAATACAGTGGTACCTCTACTTACGAACGCCCCTACTTACGAATTTTTCGAGATACGACCAGCTCCGCCCCCAAAAATTTACCTCTACTTACGAACTCGCCTCTACTTACGAACCGGATCTGCGGCCATTTTCCCTGCTGCCACATGGTCGTGGCTTCCTGTGGGCGAGATCGCGGTAGCAAGGAGACGTTTGGTGAGGCTTGTGGTGTTTGGAAGGTTTTTGTGGCGTTTGGAAGGTTTTTGT